TTTTTTCAAAAGAAGTCACCACATGTTTATGAAAATCATAGCACCTCTTTGTGTCTACATGGTGCTTTATGAAAAAACGTAGATAGGCTTTTCACTCTTCAGCCCAAAGTTGATGTGTTTAACATAGTCAGGCAGCGTGGGTTTATAAAAAGCATCAGCCAAGGGAATTAGCGGACTGGGACCTCACTCTTAAATATCGTCTGGGAGACCCTTTCCTATTTTCTTTTCACTGGGCGTATGCCTATAATTTGTTGTATTAAATAGGTCATATACTCAGATACGAACTATAATGTGTGTAACAGCATCTGCTCAGTTGTTCAATCAGATGTGGTTTTGGCTGTCCTGGGGAGCTCAGACGGTAGAGACGTTACTTAGCCAGTGAAATCTCGTTAAATGGCTCGGTGCTGATGCTCTCAGGAATCCCTCCTTAGGTATATTTAAATACACGGAAGGCCTTTCCAGCACTTGGAAATTCTAGCATGGAGGGAACTTTGAGCCTTTGAGAAATATATTTAAGAAATCTTTAAAATGGGGCAGACTTCAGGATTTTCCTGGCCCTTCCTTTGAACATTCACTCTGTGTCCTAGAGTTTGTCTAGTGATCTTGGAGTTACTTTTAAAATGAGTAGAATCTGGGGAGCTTGGGGACCCCAGTATGGGATGCCCATCTCAGGGGCATATAATTGAGCTATGAGGCCACAGCCACTCTGCCAGCCAGGAGTTCAGCCTTGCCCATGTCCGCTTCCTGGTCCTTATTTTTGATGCATGTCTTCCCAGGCCCCACAGTTCATTGAATGGAGGCTGCCTGCATGGGTATAAGGTGGAGACACACATCCCAGGGCTGTCTCTCGATTTCCTGTGCTTTGCCATCCATTTTCTATGAAGTCCATCCTGTTTCTGGCTGTGTTTTTATTTCTGTTCTCTGACCTTCTTTGCAGCCTCACTCTATGTTGGTATGTCCTGGTTGGACCATTTGGTCAAGTGCATACCTAGAGATTTGGAGAAACGATTTTCATTCCATCTCTGGCTTTGTTTGTGCAGTGTTTGTTGAGTTCCTCTTCCTTCTCCTTTGAAATACTGTTAGGCATTACATTCTGTGTCCATGGAGCTATAAGTTAGATGTGTGAGCAGTAGGACTGCATATATTAAGTGTCTTTGAATGAAATCTTTCCTGTTCTGCCATAGATGGGAGTTGGTGTGATGCTAATATATATTTGATATTTACTAAAGGAAACTGTAATTCTAATTGAAGTTTTAGACAAGAACTGATGATCCTGAAACGCTGTCACAGAATCCTAGATGCTGTCAACCTTCAGGTCCCTCGAGATTCTCATTTATATTTTAGAACAGAAACATTGGGAGTCTAGAAGGCCAGCAGTGTTCCAGTAGGTTCCCATGGCAGCTGCATGCAGCCGCTTCCATTCACTGGTCTGGGGAGTAGTCACTTAAGCTCACAGTACCAAAAAAGAGGGAAAAGGAAGAGAAAGCATTTGAAGAGGGTGTTTAAGTTAGAAAAGGGAAAGAAGTTTTTGAGAATGTTCAAACATTTTTATTTTTAAAATACCCCAAAATTTAATGACTTTGGGCAAAGATTCAAGAAGCTAAGATTTGGGTACTGGCCAGCAGTATCTATCAGAAACCTTACTCCCCAGGGAGCCGGTGGAATGTGTAGAGTCAGACCATGCAGTCACTGACATGAGTGGGTTTCTGAGTCTGTCTTTCCCTGATATTTTTATATGCTTGGTGAGAAGGTTTAAATCCAGAGTTAAACCAATCTACACCAACTGGAATATACTGGTGGTTTTTTCCTAGCAGCTGTAAAGGTCAGTGATGGCCTAATAAAGAGCCATGCAAGTGTGTCCCAACTAGGAACAGCCTTCGTCCAGAACTCACCCAGAGCAGATTCCAACTCCTCCTCTGTAGCCACCTTTGAGAGTCTGCACCCAAGCAGAGAAGGACTGCACTTCCCCAGCATGGATCTTATTGATAGACTCTAAGGCCTGGACAGATGTATGGTTTTGATAACCTTAACCTTTGTGTTCCCCATGTGCAGGCATTTTTGTGCTTCCATGGCACCAGCTAATACATGTACCTAAAATATCGATGTCCTAAAAGTAGAGTGGGGTTGGAGGTGAAGGATGAAGCCCAGGCAGCAGTGTGGTTCAGAGGCAGGAGTGGCCAGTGCTCAGATCCCAGAAAGAGTCTTCAGAAGACATCCCAAAATGAAGCAAGCAAATCAAGACTCTGTGGATCTTCTTTTGAGAGTAGCTCACAAGAACTATTCTGGTTTTCAGTTATGGGTTTCTCTTGGGAATCATTTCTGGTGTTTATAGGAATAAGACATTCATCTAAAGTGAAGCCATTGAACTGGAGTTATTGAAGACTATGGAACCCTAATGGGAACGTTATAAAAGGGGGTGCTGTCAAGATCCCATCCTGTGTCCTAGCCGCTGGCTTCCTTTAATTACAAGATCTGTGACAGGTGTTAGCTAATCCTGTAGTGGTGCTTGCTCAATGGGGCCAGCGCATAGCTGCAGAATTAACTAGTTGGTGTGTTTCAGTCATTCATTCACAGGCATTTCTTAAGCACTTACTCAGGGCCACACGATGAAGGAGCTCTAGGTCTCATTAAGCCTTAGGTCTAAAGCAGGATTTCCTTCTAAATGTAAGCCATCTCCTTGCTTCCCCTGCTTGGCTCTACCTGTATTTTTTATTCTAGTTTTTTCAAACCTAAGCTAGTTATTTCTCTTTAGGACAATGATGAAAAATGAGATCACTTTTTTTTAATAGCTTCTTAAATCAACAGTTTAGAGTAGAGCTGTATAATTTTTAGAAGCTAATAAACAGCCTACCTATGTCGCTCAAACCATCTCTTACGAAGTCTCACTAGCTATTACCCTACTTTGAAGTAGTAAAGTCAACATTTTAATGTATTGGAAACTGGATACTAAACTGATTCTTGGGAGAGAAAAGATAAAACATTTCAGAAGACCATAACCAAAAGCCTAGGATTGAAATTTGAGCCAGCAATAAATTCTGATCCTGAATTTGGAATCTCTTAACTACCTGTTGATACAAATCTGTGCTCCATATATATGTGAAGTAAGATATTCCAAACAGATGTATGGATGGGGAAGACCCCCAATGAGATGGGCTGGCACAGTGGCTGCAGCAGGGGGCGCCAGCACAGCAAGGACTGTGAGGATGGCTCAGGACCAGGCAGGGTTTCGCTCTATTATACAAAGAGTCACTGTGAGCTGAAGCCAACTCGATGGCATCTAACAACAGCAACACAGAAATAGAGATATACATATGTGCATATGTATATGTGGAGAGAGAGATTAAAACACTATTAACATGCTATTTTAAAGCTCTAGTAATCAGTGTCCTCCATTCTTTGCTGACTAGATTGAGAACAGTTTGACATGAAGAAATTGGCTAATGTGAAGCTCTATGATTTATTTACAGTATCAGTACCATTATAAGAAAGATAAATTGGACTTCATCAAAATTTAAAACTTTTATGTTTCAAAGGACACCATCAAGAGTGTAAAAAGACAGCCCACAGAATAGGAGAAAATATTTGCAAACCATAATATCTGATAAGAGATTTGTATGTAGACTCTATAAAGAACTCTTACAACTCAATGATGAAGTTAATAGCATTAATAATCTATTAACTTTCAACAACCCTACATCTCTTGGTGTATTCCCAGAACATAAACTAGGAAGAAATTGGCGCTGTGGTTAAAACATTGGCAGTTCTACTGTGTCCTGTAGGGTCACTGTGAGTCAGAATCGTTTAGTTTAGTTTTTTGGGTTTAGCTGATCTCCCTCCATTTCAGCACAAGCCTCAGGTCATCCCTGCAGTTCTTCTGATCAGGAGGGAGTGCTGGTGGCCATGATGACACTCAGTGCTTTTGCAGCCAAGCCCAACTCTCCTTTGCAGCCTCCTCCCCGTTTTAGCCTCCAAGAGCACCATGTGTCAGTCCATCCACAGCGGTCTGTCCCACTGCTCCTTCACACTGAGGCCCTGCCACACCTCCTTTCTCATGATTCTCCAGCCCTCTGGAATCCCTGCCTTCCCACCCCTCTGTCCACCCACCCACATGGTGAACTTTCACATCCCCCTGTGGCTTTCCTGAAGAACGAATTGGTCCATCATCAAAGTTCCGTAGCAGTTTCCATCTACCCCTGAGTAACCAGTTACATGGCACATTAGTTATTTTTCTTAAATCTGTCTCCTTAGGTAAACTCTGGGTCCATTGAGGGCAGAGATTATGCCTCATTCATCTACATATCCTCAGTAATAGCTAGGTGCCCAGCCACAGTAAATGTTTCATTGATTGACGCGTTAGTCTGATGGGGCCTCATTTTCAAAAAGAAAGGTGGGGAGACATATAAGTGGTTCCAGAGGACCTAACAGAAAGGGTTCTGACACTCTTGTATATTTCAAAATAAGGAAATCATAAACATGGTGCAACAAAGCCATTTTGTATTACTGAGGACAAGGCCTGGGTGACCGCACAGGTGCCCAGACGTAGCCTTCAGTTCAGAAAAATACGTTCCAATTACCAGCCTCCGCCGCCATGCCTGGAAATGATTCTCTCCGGGTTTGCCTAGCCCACCCCTTCACATGCTTGTGATTTAACCATTTGACAGCTGATCCTTAATCCTTAGCAACTGACTTGCCATCCCTTTTATTATTCTTTCCATCTAATTGGTTTGCTGCAAGCTCACAGCCTCCAACCGCATGCCATTGGAATGATGCATCTGATGCTAGCTGCTTTTAACCTGGTTCCCCTTGAACTTCAATCTCTCTTTGGGAAAACTAAACCCCGTATCACCTTTGCAAGCCCCGTTGATAAATTGCTTTTGTTTTGGTTCTCCCTTTCGGCGTGCCTCCTCTGGTTGGTTGTTTTGGGTTTTGATTATGCTTGCTTTGTTTTCTTTCTTGCTCTTCTTTCTCTTATTTTGTTTTCTCCATTCTTCTCATTGGAGGCAATGAGCCGTCCAGCGGCCGGAACTCCCCTCTCCCTTACCGGCCAGACAGTCGCCCTCTAACTCCAACTTACGCTCAGGCCCCTAAACATTTCCATGTTCCAGGTAGGAGCTGACATGGTCTGTGTCTTGATGTCCTGTCACAGTGTAGAATGTGGCCTTGTAACCCGTCTTGTCTCCATCTCTCATGCTCTTTTAAGCGGGATGCATATAGTTGACAAATCCTAAATTGCAGGATCTGACCCAGAGGGGCCTTTCTGAGAGTTTTGTGTGTAAAAAGCCAGGATCCTATTGAGAGTTGAAGATTTCTCATATCTTGGAGAGGGTGGAGGGCGGAGGCAAAAGAACAGGGTTGAGTTGTTTTGTTTATACTAGTTTTTCCCTTGTACATTTACATTTCTACTTTCTGCAATTTCCCTGTGGTTTGGTGTCATTGACTAATGACCACAATGGCAATCCAGTTGTTTTCTCATCACAAAGATTGAACCACAGTGTTGCCTGGGAGTATTTTTATATTTCCTGTCTCTCTCCAGTGTGGGGATTGTTTTTATGGGTTTTTCTTTTTAGAGAGGTGTAACGTTAGGTAAATTGGGTGGTTTTTCTGCAGTGTACAGCTAACTAACCACTCTGCAGCCCGTCACGATATCTTGCAATTTAGGCTCGGTGCTGCAGGCTTTGCTGTGGTAGTCACGAGCTTTGGCTGTCACAGTACAAATAGTACTTTGCCATCAAGCACTGGAAAAATCCAAACCCATCAATATCTTAACGTTTTGAGTCAGTTCAATTTGGGAGAGCAAATTGGCCATCTCAGGGGTCACAATATTGGTTTTCCATTGGATGAACATTGATTTTCTTCTTTTAGCTACTGAAAGTACTTTAATAAATTACCCATTATGTTCATGTTGGTATATGTATTTGGAATCTGTAAGAGTTTTTTTCTTTTGCCTTCCAAACTTACCTAATAAAACCAAGGAAAGTTCAGTGAGATTTGGCCCTGGTTTTGGACTGTCGTTTTTTAAGTTTTCAAGGTCTGATTGAACCTTGAAAGTGGACAGTCCATATTTGTGGGTTTTTGTATCTTTCGTGCTCCAGCAGGATACAATGCCCATGATTCTGGGTGAAACAGAACCTTTTGAAATTTCCTGATCTTTGCACTTGAAGTAAAATGGTGCCACAACCAAATGGGGTCCTTTATAAATGTGAATAGTATTTAGCATCTCTTCCCTTTTTCTTTGGGAATTTGGCTATACAAGGCAGGGTTTTCTGAGCATCCCATCAGCACATCGGGCTAGGCTATGCATAGAAAGTGTTTTTGTGTTATAAAATATACCCTTAATTTTACTACATTGCTTTCCACTGTTCCACTCATTAGTTGAGAAGTAAATTGAGCCACTGGTACCTCCCAGGAGCTCAATTTCTAGACAGTAGCAATTTGAGGATCTGTCCTCAAACTGGTTATGTCTTGCTCATCATTAGAGCACCTGCACTGCTTGCATTTCTTCGTTTTCAATCCCACTTTTAATGAAGTGTGTAGCTGAAATAAATGGCTCATGAGTTAATTACATCTCTCGATATATACTAAGGTGTATTACAAAGGCTGCCATACCACTTGTCTGTAGTAATTCGCTCATCTCTGTAATTTTTTCTACAATAAACTCAAATCTTTGTAATACAAAAGTTTACCTCCTGGGTTATTTTTGTTCAAGAGCCTTCAGTTTGATTTGCCCCTTGGTTGATCTGTTTTTTTTTCCCATCGCTGAACTGGTTCCCATAATCACACACCTTTGCTTTTCATTTCCACAGATCAAGGGATCAACATTTACCGAAAACCACCCATCTACAAACAGCATGGTAAAACCCGCTCCCTTCCGCGCAGCTTTTGGTAGCAGATTCTGCTGAACGCCTCCTCTTTGCCATCCTCTGAAAGGCTTAACTGCTGCTGCTTTTGGGAACAAATGAGCAGATTGTGCTTTTATGGTCTCTGGTGGCACAGTAGTTAAGCGCTCAGCTGCCATCCCCTAGGTCAGCGGTTCAAACCCACCAATTGCTCCACGGGAGAAAGATGTGGCAGTCTGCTTCCCTAAAAATTTGCAGCCTTGGCAAAACCCTGTAGGGCGGTTCTACTCTGTCCTGAAGGGTTGGTATGAGTCAGAATTGACTCGATAGTACTAAGTTTAGTTTAGGCTAAGATGCAAGTATTGTGAAATTAATTTTTCTAGTCGAAAAACAGTATAGTTAGGTGACTTCTACCCCGGTTCTGAGCCCATGAAACCATGTATCACTCTTGTCACAGAGAAGGGGAAGTACTGCTTACATAAGGAATCCCAGACATCCTAACAAGGTTTTTGTTTTGTTTTGTTTTGTTTTTTGCCATCAAGTAATGTATCCAACCTTGATAGTCATTTTGAAGAGGTGGTTACATTTAACTATTTAACACCAGTGAAAGCCAGCCCCCTAGCAAATTAATTTGCCTGCGTCTAAATCTGCTTGGCCATCTGGCACCCCATCTTCTTCTTGTGGGGCCTGTAGCCGTCTGCACCCTGCACTGGAGTGGACAGGACACAAGCTGAGACAGGAGTCCGGGCCCTGCCACAGCTCTTTTCCCAGTAACTCTGTCATGTCACAGAAGTACTCTCTCTCTGCCCAGTTTTTTCATCTGTAAAAACTAATGAGTTAGATCAGTTCATCTATGAAGTTCCTGCCAACTAAACACAACTGAAATGGGTTGGTAACTGTATTTTCCTTTTCCAGGAAGACAGAACCTTTAAGCCCGGGAAATTGGGCCTCTAAGGCTCTCCATTGGCCACAAATCTCTGTAAATAGATAGAAAGCAAGGCTGGCCCTTGGTGATTTCAGAAAGTGATGCCCAAATTGTGCCTGGAAATTTGAAGGCTGCCTTTTGAACCCAGCTGACATTAATTAGTCCTTGAGGATTATTCGTATGACATAAAAAGCACATAAAGTTGAAAAAATTTTAGGCCAAAAATTCTAGGGAGAAAAAGAGAAAGTGTGTATCTGGAACTGTCTTTTGATTTTTTTTTTTCCTCACTTTTCACTTTTAAGGTTTTACACCACATGCTTGCTTTTTAAGTTTGTTAACATTGTTTTTGTTTGTTTTTTTTATGGTTTAATGTCTTCCCACCCACTCATTAACATGTGAATGTTTAACTAACTACTGACTTCACCAATTCTAATACGTAAGTACTGTTTGAAGGCTTGCTTTTTTTTTTTTTTTTAAATTTAAGAATAAGCTTCCCAGAATTTGGTTGTCAGTTCAGAGACTTCTTTATACTAAAAGCAATAGGCCCTGCCTCTCTGAACAAAAAATGATCAAATAATTAAGATTTAAGGAGATTGAGTAACGTTAGATCATTTATTGAGAAGGGATTAATTGACCTCTTTTTGTGACGTTTACTTTGGCTGAAGCCTTTGCTTTCAGTCTGTTGTGACTTAATTAAGAATGGCCAGAGCAGTGCTTCCCAAAGGACATTCTACAGAAGAGTAGTTCCACGCAATAGAAATAGAGTTATTTAAAAAAAAAAAAGGGGGGGCAGGGTAGAGTCTGTGCTCTGATGCATTTGGGAGATGCTAGATTTTAAAAAGTTGCAGGTTTTTAAAAGGCAGAACTTCTCACTCTTAAATCTGCTGAAGTGTAGTATCCAGTGTTTGCCAAGCTGCAGTGCTTTCCCATGAGATGTGTGTTCAGAGAAATCCTGCCCCATGAGTGGCCCAGACATAGCCTTCAGTCAATTGAGGCCCAGAGAGCTACTAAAAGGGTGTGTGAGTTGGAGCTGAAAAGTCAGAAAGTTAGTCCAGATTTTTAAAAAATGTAAATGTAAAAATATCCGAGTCTACAGGGAAAAGTTTTATTTATGGCTTTGCATTTTGGAATGTTTAGTAGCATTCCAAGCCAGTTTGCAAAGTTAGTGGGAATCAGGGAGTGAGCATTACCCTGATTTGGGTTGCTCGCACTCTTTGATTTCAAGCCCTGGTGGTGCAGTACTTAAGCACTCAGGCACAAACAGAGAGCTCTGCAGCTGTAACCGGGCAGCTGCACTGTGGGAAAAAGACGTGGCAGTCTGCTCCCATAAAGATTACAGGCTTGGAAACCCTGTGGGGCTGTTCTACTCTGTCCTGTAGTGACATTGGCTCAGAATCGACCCAGAGGCAACAGGTTTGGGTTTTGTTGGTGGATCTGTGATTAAATTTGGGCCCTAAGCCCCCCTCCTATGTGTAGCCGTTAAGAGTTCTGTTAACCGATGGTCACCATAGTCTGACTTGTGTCGTTTCACAGTTAGAGAACGTGTATATCCAGACCTTTGAACAAAACCATTAGTAGGAGTGGCAAACGCCAGTTAACAGCACTACGCTCAGTTCGTGCAAGTTGAGAGCAGATTTTCCCATTCCCATTTCTCCTAGGACTCCAGGGCATATGTACAATATGTAGGAATTAAGATGGACTGGACCAATCTATTTGTGGCTTCTTGCCCAAGGACACAAGGCCAGCCAGCCCTCTAATAATTAACAAATGCAGCCCAGTAACAGTGTTATGCTTTTAATTTAGCTCTTTAACCTCCAATTACTGACCTGAATGTCCAGTTCCTCTAGACAAGTATTAGCCACTGGAGCTTTCTATGACGATGGCATTGTCCTGTAACTGCCCCATGGGTACAGTGAGCCACTAATCACCTGTGGCTACTGAGCATGTGAAGTAGCTAGTGCCACTGATAATGGAATGTGTAATTTCATTTCATTTAAATAAATTTAAATAGCCTCATGTAGCTAGTATTGTACAGCACAGCTGGAGAACAAGGCTGTTGTGATATGGAACAGATGAGGCAGGGAGCTCTCTTCTGTCTGGACATGGGTAGTCATTGGACACCACAGACTGCCTGGGCAGTTAATAATGGTGATATACAGAGCCTTCTAGGGTTGAAAACATTGCCAGAAAACAACAACAACAACCCGTATAAGGGGGGCTGGGCCACCCCTGCCTTGCAGACCGCAGCTAAGCCGCCCTGATTCCCACCTAGATGCAGCTGCGCTGGCAGCCCAGAGCAAGTCCTCAGAAGACATCATCAAGTTTTCCAAGTTCCCCGCAGCGCAGGCTCCAGACCCCAACGAAATACCAAAGATTGAGACGGACCACTGGCCTGGTCCTCCCTCACTTGCCGCCATAGGTATGCAACCGTTGGAGCTAAGTCAAACGGACAGGTTTCTAGAGGGGTCTCAAAATGAAATTCTTAAAATAGGCAAGAAAATGTGTCCTGTTATAAGGACTTCTTAGGAAGGTATGATCGAGAGGTAGAATAGTGGGACAAAGTCTAATGTGGTATTAATTTGTATGCAAAATGGTTAAAAGTTACAAAAAAGGCATCCACCAGAGCCTTGCTTTAACCACCCCTACTGAGACACAGAACTAGTCTAAAACCCATTGTCTTCAGGGACTCTCGGAGTCATGATGCAAAACCAGTACCTCGTTTTAACACGTTTAGATGAGAGCTGCAGGGCAGGAACACTGTTCTGTAGAATTAGAGTCTGTGGGTGAATTTACGGAGTGTCCTTACAAGCATGACAGCTTCTGGTTGAATTTGTTTGGACTATTTCTGGGTTTTCATTAGATTTCTCTTAACAACCAGTCTTAACGTGCGAGTCCTTTTCGTTTGTCTTGCACTCACGTTCTCAGCTAAGAAGCACTAGTGCAAGGTACCCAGTGTTCTGAAACATCACTGTATGCAGTTGTGTGAGTTCACGCCTTACCATCTCCATGAATTCTGTGCTGTGATGTCACACTCGAGCTGTTTCATTCTTTGCTTTGAACCACAAATTTATGCTTTAGAATTGTCTGCATCTTCACTGTTTTATCAGTAATGACATCACTTGGCCTAAAAAGAGGTATTAGCAAACACCAGGGCTAATACTGAAAATTTAGTGTGTCAGCCTTACAAAGATAGGACATTCCTGTTGACAACCTAAGAGGCCTTCAATTTTCCAAAATTAACAAATTTTCTTCATCATGTGATTTCTCACCAAGTTATCTTTGGAATAACTTTTCAGTCAATATAAATGGATTTGGAAGGAATTTAAATTTGTCGAAAGAGATGAAGGAAAACCCACTTCTCAGTTCATTATTCACAAGTAGCCTAGAGATTCTGTTGACCTGAGATCTATGTAATTCTTGTATCTCTTAATTTTTATTAGTATGGGCTAAAGAGAGACAACTCACGCTGACATTTATGATTTTTTAGGACTGAGCCCTAGTGGTCAGCGATTCTCTACCAGTCCATGCCCTTTGGGAAGTTCTTTGGGCCCCTGTGATCCCTGGCTCAGTCATGTCACTTAGCGGAGACAATAAAGCAGCTAAACTTTTGGGGGCAGGGGGAGGGGGAATAAAAATGTTGTCATTAAAACCACTTTCTCTAAATAGTTTAAAGCTCTTTGGGTTCTAATATGTGGAAAATTTGGGGCCCGTTAATCAAAATGATAAAAACTAAGACTAGTAGTTGAAGTTTATTTTGATTAGATTAACAAACCTTCCTGTTTCCTCACACAACCACCTTAATCCAAGCAATTTGGGAGGGGGGGGGGAAATATATATATATATCCTAATCCTTCCAGCTATTGAGACAGTTGATCCCTTCTTTCCCATGCCTGTCTCCTCTTTTACAGAAAGCTCAGGATTTGTACATGATTTGGTATATTTTTTTTACCAACTAAATAACTTATAAGCTATACTCATAATTTTAACTCTGTAAATATAAAATTCCTGCTATAGTCATGCTTTTAACTCTGTAAGTATAAATTTTCTTCATGACCATTTTTCAAAGGATTGAGAAAAAAAAAAAGTTAGAATCTCATCCCTTAAAAAAAACCGAAAAGACATGCTTGTTAATGAGTATGAGAAGGGTGGTGATACTATGACAAGCCTCACTATTCAGAAAAAATTAAAACACCAAGATTTTAAAACATGTCACAGAAGAGTGACCATCCTACCTATTTGATGGTATGTAGATGGGTTTGGATTCCTTGCTTTTTGTAAATTGACCCCAGGGACATGTGATAATAATTGAGTATACCACATGGTGAGCTCTGACCAGTGGTTTCTGTGATGGCTTAGGCCCTGCCCATCACAAAATCAATCTGAGTTCTGATTGAGCAGGCCAGTGGTCAGGAGGCCATGAACCATGCCTCACCTGCACCACACGTTGGACTGGCTTGTCCACTGGTCTCATTCTCTCTAGAACCAGCCAGTCGTGCTGAATAGATGGTGAGCACGTTTTTGCATGTGTTGTTCACCTTAAAATGTTAAAGACAGTGGCTGACTTTGCCAGCCTCACAAATTGAGCACAGATGGACTAGTCTGTTAAGGTTCTCTTGTCGTGGGGCTGATATGAGAAGTTGTCTTTGCTGTGGAATTAGGAACTGATATGAGACGCAGATCTAGTGGCAGAGAGGAAGATGAGGAGGAACTTCTGAGACGCCGACAGCTTCAAGAAGAACAATTAATGAAGGTTTGTCCTTAAACTACCTTGCTGCTGTCTTCTATTCAGTTCCATCCGATCTGTATTTTCTAAATGACTCCTATGTGCATAGCACCTAGATGTGCAGTAGCTAAGACAAGATGAGTATCTAGTAACAATACTAGGACAATACATAGTGGGTTCTGGAGGAGATGACATTGAGGCCAGAGACCAAAGGGATGTGGAACATCTGGGCTTTCTCAAGAAGAGCATGACTGGGCGAGGGGGTTTGGCAAGTGCATGCATTGAGAGAATGCTTAAGGGCCAGGTCAAGCCAAGTGGTGTAGACTGGAGAGAAGGTCAACATTTCCTTCCTTCCCCCACAGTCCCACTCTTCTACTGGGATCCCCTTGGGATTAAGCATTTCTCCAAGTCTTTCCAAGGGACTAGGAGGGCTTGGTATGTACTTCTGGGCCAGGAAAAAGGGGAGAAAAGGGACTGCCCCTAAGATGCCATCGTCATACCTTCCCTCCATCATCGATATCTCTAGCATGGGGCCTACAGAATCCCAGAAGACCAAAAGAGAGGAGAAAGGAGCCAGGTAGTGACACACTCTCCCACCAATAAAGGGGCTATTGAAACCCTTGATGTGTAATTACATGGGGAAATGCACATGATATTAGTTATAAGAAAAAATACACAGTTGCATTTGTGGTATGATTCCAGTTTTGTATAGTATGTGCCCAGAAAAATACTGGATGGTGCTTTTATCTGAGCAGTAGATCATGGGTTACTCTTCTTCCATGGTTTCCAAAATCTGTACATTGAGCATGCGTTACTTTTTCTTCTGTTTTTAAGCAAATCAATGCAATTTCTTTTTAAAGGCTATCATCCCCAATCCCCACTGTCCCCATCAAGAATTCACACATATTCACACATAGCTCCTGAGGTCACCAGCTAGCAGTTTAGGGGAGGGAAAAGGAAGGAGAATATTTTCTGACAACCTGATTTAGGGAAATAGAGCCTTGAAATTGAAAAGGCTAAGAAGGGTTTAGGTTCTAAAACCTAGCCTGCCTCTTGAGGAACCCCAAGGAGACCACAAGCCTCCAGACTCCTCCAGAGCCATGAACTTCTTCTAAGATCTTGTAAAAAGAAACTGCGTTTTATTAAAGTAATTGCAGGTTCCACTTCCTTTTTCCTCTCTGTGATTAGCTCAACTCAGGCCTGGGGCAGTTGATACTGAAAGAAGAGATGGAGAGAGAGAAGGAGAGCCGAGAAAGGGCCAGTCGCCATGATTCTCCCATCAGCTCAGGTGAGCAGCAGACCCACTGTCTTCCCCAGCCAAGAGCTGGCTGCCTGTGTGCGGGGGCCAGTGATGACTGTCCCAGGAGGGGCAGGACCATTCCTGCTGGCACCCACAGGAAGGGAGTCTGGCGAGCCCACTTCCCATCAGTGTAGCTTATGAGCATGCTGTGTGTGTTTCCTTCTTGCTGGAAATGGGGAGCCCTTGGAGGATCTCAAGACTGGGAGGAATCTGTCCCCATGTAGTAGGGCTACCTTCTAGAACAATCATCTCAGAAGGAAGCAGCAAGAGGAGGTCTTTATAGAGAAAGGTTGCTTTTCTGACAGGAGAGAGCATCAGCAATACATTTTCAAAGCATCGTTATTAGTATGTCGATTACAAGACCTGAGCACTGATGATGGTGTTCTTGAAGGAGCTGTCTGAAATAGCCTATCAGTATGTTTTGCCTGATTCTCTCTTAACCCACAAGATGTTTTCTCACATGTTCTGAATTAGCAGCATAATTTTCTGTCCAAAGGGTGCCTTTAAAAGTTTATTAGAATTTCCTGTATGCAAGTACTGTTGCTAAATATTATTTGTTCTTCACAGCATGCCAGTGAAGGACATGTTGTCATTACTGTCCCGTTTTAAAGCTAAGGAAACGAAACCCATTGGTACATAATTAATAACTAGCAAAACGAGGATTCAGGAGTCCAGGTGTTCCAACCCCAGACCCACACTCTTACCTGGAATGCCCTGCTACCTCACATAGGTTCCTCATTGGCATTGATTTTAGATTAGCTTATTTAATCTTTAGAGTTCATCTTTAGTTGTTGTTGTTGTTGTTATATGCCATCGAGTCGGCGCCCCGACTCATAGCGACCCCTCCTTGGGTTTCCAAGGCAGTATCACTACGGAAGTAGGATTGCCCAACCTTCCTTCCGAGGAGTGGCTGGTGGGTTTGAACCGCCAGCCTTCTGGTTAGCAGTCAAGTGCCTTAGGCACTATGCTACCAGAGCTCCTTTTAGAGTTCCTTCTAATTCTGCAATTCTGTTCTGTAAAAGTATATAACACCATACCTGTGTGGATCGAGACATGAAGACTTAGAAAGATTAGATACCATGACCAGAGATGCAGAGCTGTGAAGTCGCAGAGCTAGAATTCAAACCCAGGTCTCCCCCCATCCCCACCAGAGCCCAGCTGTCACGAGCAGCCATGCTCCTGATGGACATGATACCTATATCAGGCCTCCCAGAGGGCCAACCCCGTCTGGCCACCAGATCTGGATCATTTACATAGCTGGCTTCCAGGTCACTTGTTGCTATCTTACTGACTGAGACATTGGCTTTTTGCATTCAGACAGCCCCGGGTTCAAATCTTTGCTCGGCTGTTTGCTAGCTGAGTGACCTTGGGCAAAATACTTCACATCCCTTGCCCTCTTCCCTCTTCTGTAAAATGAAGATAGTAATTGCATCACTAAAGTCGTAATGAGGCGTCAGAGAGGTAAAGCACGCTGAGCACTTAGACGCATTCCGGAATCTTAGGAAGTGCAGGTGACCTTAGCCCCAGGCCACTTAGCTGAGCTGGCTGTTCTTCTCTTTCCTGCCCTCAGTAAGGTCACTGGCCACCCATTTCTGACATCATGTAAATACGGTGATGCTTTGGGAACATTTGGGCTCAATATTGTTTAAGTTACCCACTTTAAAACTTCTGCTCTACAAAGTGAATTTATATTGCCAAACTTGCCTTGGAGAATTAGACTTTCAGGTTCCTGATGATTGGTCTTTTTCTGTTTTTATCTTTCAGCTTCACATGCTCCGTCATCTAAAACCTCATCTCTTCCAGGCTATGGCAAAAACGGGCTTCACCGGGTAAGATTCCACCAATCCATTTAATCCAATTAAATGACTCCAGTTAATTGTTTTTGGGTTAATCCCCTCCCCAGTCCTATCTGAAGTACCAGCGGTACATCTGAATCCATCTAACTCTTGATCTCAAACATTAGAGCATAAGGAATTGATCATTTCCCTGAGCTCCTGATGAAGTCACAGTGTGTCACAGACAAGATAAACTATTTCACTTGAGAAAAAAATAAACTGACCGTAGACAAGGGGACAGCCCACACAGGCTTGTAGGAAGGAGACAGAGAGCAAATCACCGCAGATTCACCTACAGTCATGCAAAAAAGGAGTCACTTGAGTTATCTCTGCTGAAGAAAGAAATAGGAATGTGTGTTACCATGCGATTGTGTGACTAAGTAGGGAAGTGAACCTTTTTTACTTGTCAGCAGGAGGTAAGTATACCAAGAGCCTCCTGGCAGCAGTATTAGATGTTCAGGAGACAGACACTTGATGGTAGACAAGTTGTGGGTGGCATTGGATGGCGTCAGGTTGACCCCACCTCACAGCGACCCCATGTGACAGCAGAGCTGAGAGCTGCCCGCGGGGTTTTCTAGGCCATCATCTTCACAGAAGCAGATCACCACCCGGTCTTTCTCCCAGGGAGCTACTGGATGGATTCAAACCGCCAACCTTCCTGTTCGTAGCTGTGCACTTAATGTTTGTGCCACCCGGGCTCCTTGAGAGAGAGAAATAATTAGAGCCCAGGGATTTAACTGGGAAAGAATTCTTAGGATGTATTAAATCTCATTCCCTTTTCAACTGATTCCAAGATGGTTGCTTTGGAGAAGACTTTCCAACAATTTGTGTTCCTTGTTTCAGCCTGTTTCCACAGACTTTGCTCAGTATAACAGCTACGGGGACGTCAGTGGTGGAGTCCGAGGTGAGGCTTTGGTGGCCGGGCTGTTGACCAATGTGGGCTGCGTCCTCCCTTTGTGGCTGAGGTCCACGAGAGGCTATGTCATCACAAGTAGATGGCTGTAGTCGTGCTGTCTCCCATCCTGGTGTGGGATCACATAGCCACTGTGAGCTAATGCAGCATTTAATAAGATCTCCAGGGATCCCTAATGAAATAAAACTATGAAAAGAGAATTTGTGAGAAGTATTTTTTGCTCCTACTATGTGCTGAGCAATATATTAGATACCTGGAGGTATAACCATAAACAAGGCATGGCCCTTACTCTCATGACGTGTATGGCCTGGTGCAAGAGAGCATGAGCATGAGGGTGAGCATGAGAGCCCATGCTCCTGAAGAGGCCGTGGCAGCTCAGGATGATAAATGCGATGAGTGGAGATGCAGAGACGATGAAGGAGGCACCTTCAGGTTACTAAAGAAAGCTTCCAGGAGAAAGGGATGGTTTAATTGCAGACTAAAAATGGAGCAGGCATTTCCTGGCTTTAGGGAGGCAGAAGGGAGGGCATGTCTAGAGTCCCAGAGCAGGAAGAGAACAGGATTCGTTGTTTTCTTTTTCTTTGGGGGGGCAGGTTTGGAAACTGTAGTCAAAGCTGTGTTGTTGTTGTTGTTATGTGCCGTCGAGTCAGCCCTGACTCATAGCAACCCCTTCTTGGGTTTCCGAGGCAGTATCACTACGGAAGTAGATTGCCCCATCTTCCTTCCGAGGAGTGGCTGGTGGGTTTGAACCGCCAGCCTTCTGGTTAGCAGCCAAGTGCCTTAGCCACTATGCTACCAGAGCTCCCGTAGTCAAAGCTAGCTTTTCTATTAAGGTTTCCATGATCATCCATGGTCTTGCCCTTATGGTGTCTTCTTTTCCTTTCTTTTTCAGACTACCAGGTATGGGACACTTGGCCTTTGTTGAGTTGCCTACACCACCAGAACAGCCAACTCTCAATCCAGATGTGTGTGGTTGCTCTGGGGAGGGCTTCTCTTGAGAAGATACTTATCTTGGTTGATCCATCTACTCCTGTGTCCATAGCCCTGAGGAGTAGGCAGGCCTGGTGCTTGGCTCAAGCTGTCCCTACAGGCCTTGGGGACGGGGCATGAACCAGGCCAGGTGTTGGGGGACTGCCTTGCTCTGGCCTTGGAGTAGAAGTAGACCAGAATGAAGGGTCTGTCCATGTATAGTTTGTTGTTGGTGTTGTTTTCTTTTTGTTGTAACCACTCAGTACTTTAGGTCCTCCTCTCCCTTGCCTGGTCCTACATGAAGAGAAACTCATGCTTTGGAAACTAGGAATGAGCTGTTTGCTCTGGTACCATTGTTATCTTGGTAGCATCTATTGTTGTTGTTAGGTGCCATTGAATCAGCTCTGACTCATAGCGACCCCGTGTACAACAGAACGAAACACTGCCCAGTCCTGCGCCAGCCTCACAATCCTTGCTATACCCGAGCCCATTGTTGTAGCCACTGTGTCAGTCCATCTCGCTGAGGGCTCTCCCCTTTTTCACTGACCCTCCTATTTACCAAGCATGATATCCCTCTCTACCTAAACCTTCTAAGGTTGAGATGAAGATGGAGAAAAGGGAAACATGCAAAGAAACAGGACAAAAAGAAAGTAGCAATAGACCTGGCCTTTTATTTATTTACTTACTTAGAACATACCATTACATTCATACATGGAGCCTGCATTCAGAAATTAGTCAATAGCTAGTAAGCCAGGATCTCTCCCCAACTTATATAGGAGAAAGCAGTATTCCTGTTCTTGTTCAGCAAGACTCTCCTTTTGAAAAATACATGGTAATCAAGATGGTGCCTCTATGAAAAGAGAGTGAGGATTAGAGACTCAAACAGGGACGTTTGGGAGCCCACAGGGTCCTCTTGTCCATTCCCCATGCTGTTGTGCTCCTCCTTACCCAGCATTCCTGTTTCAGACCCTCCAGGATGGCCACATGCCCGGGATGCGGATGGACCGAGGAGTGTCTATGCCCAACATGTTGGAACCAAAGGCAAGTGCAGAGCTTCTACTCTTTCTTCTTATACGGGGACAACAAGCTGGGGTGGAGCCTTGAAAGTGTCATGGTTTTCTGTCTGTTCACCATCTCAGAGGGTTGTGCCCTCTTTGTTATTGGCTGGTACGTTCAGGTAAAGCCCTATCATAGAGCATCCTGCCATTCCCCTGGATTCTCCACACCAAGTCACCAGGCTAAGCCCTCACCGGGGAGCTCTGTCTATACGGTGAAGTACTGACACTTCGCTTCCTGTGACCAAGGTAGTACTGGTCCATGCCACGAGCACTACAAGGTATACCCAATGCCAAGTGGATTGGCAGCAGAGTGCTCAGATAGGTGACTAGTTGTCTTGGTTTGCTCAGGACATTCCCAGTTTTAGCTCTGAAAGTCTTGCACCCAAGGAACCACCTCAGTCCCAGGCTCCAGGCAAACCTTAGCTCCGAATACCCTGGCCATCCAGAGGTGTCCAAGGGCTTGTGCTCCCTGGTGACCAGGGCTCAGTTCAGTATGCAGCCCAAGGACACTGCTCTGGCACACCTGGCTCCAGGATTCATGAGCCAGTCATGGAGCAGGATTATTGCACCCTGCCCAGAATTATCCTGCTGGATAATGACATCATGTGACGGACAAGATGGTACTTGTCATTTCCCTTTGTTTGTTTGTTTGTTTTGCCATTTCAGCCATTTTTATTGTGTTAAGTACATATATAAAACCAAACATTTCCCATTTCAGTGTACTTTACGTGTATAATTTGTGACACTAATCACACTGTTGTGTAGTCATCAGCACCATCTGTTTCCAGTTGTTCTTATCAGTCTTAACAGAAACTCTGCAGCCCTTAAACCTCTTTTCCTCTGCTTTCCCCACCCCTGCCCACCACTAATAAACTTTGGTCCCTATGCATTTGCCTATCCTACATTATTTCACATAGGTGTGATCATAGTATATATATATTGGTCTTTGCCAAGGGCACAGGAGGCCACATCTTCTGACCTCTTCTAACCCCACAAGAGGAAGACAGAATCACCATCAGTAGCCCAAGGCCTGTTCCTGTGAGACCAGACATGCTGCCTCCCTCCAGCCCTTTTACCAACCATTCCTCCCACAGCACCCACCACCTCTCTGCTAGGTTTCATAATTCGCTGCAGTGGCCACACAGAACTCACAGATTATGGGGTTTATTAGGGAAGCACCAGACTACAGTTCAAATTCTGAAGTGCACTCAGTCTCTTGCAGTCAGCCATCTCACAGTCTCAGTAGCACATCACTCTCTCAGTAGTGCATGTCTCTTAAGTCTCTCTCTTAGCAACGTGTGTCTCCCACATCTCTCTCTCAGCAGTTGTGTGTCTCTCACATCTCTCAGGAGCATGTTTCTCTCAGCAGCATATATTTCTCAGCCAGCAGTCAGACACTTTCTGCCTCTAGGAGGGCTCCTTTTGAGCCTGGCAGAGTGGCCAAACTAACCAATCCCAACATCAGAATTCCATACACCTAAGAGAGAGAGAGAGAACTTCCCAGAAGATTGCTTCCTGCCACTCTCAACAGAAAGACCCCAGGTGGATAACTTGAACAATCAGGAGCTACTCAGTTGCTCACAGCAAATTCCACCATGGAGTTTACAAAGACTTATGGCTAGAAAAGCCACACTATGTAATTTACTACACCACGGTCCTTTTGTGGCTGACTTCTTCCACTCAGCATAAAGATGTCTTCATAAAGGTTCTTCCATGTTGTAGCATGGATCAGAACTTCATTTCTCTTTGTGGCTGAATAATCCAGTTATCTTAGAATTTTTATCTTCACCCCCTATTCCCAGTAAGTTTATATTCTTTCACTCAACACTCTCTAAGGACACAATGCTAGGTGAGACACTTGGATGGAGAGCCAGGAATGTATAAGAATATGTCCCTGTCCACCAGGGAACTTGAGTTTCAGGTGCTCTTGAAGGAGGAGCATCATGGCTCCAATGTTCAAATTACAATCTCTGAGAAGCTCTGTCCCAGGAGTACTGACTTTAAGTAGATCCTGCTCGTTAACAAAGTGGTCAGAGGTGTTTTTCTTTCCTTATCAGATATTTCCATATGAAATGCTCATGGTGACCAACAGGGGGCGCAACAAAATCCTAAGGGATGTGGACAGAACCAGGCTGGAGGTAAAAAAAAAAAAAAAAAAATCCATTCCCAATGGCAACTTCCTATACTTTCCCTACAACTTTCCCCTAAGAAATGTTTTATTTCTTCAGTGAAAGAAAAACCTAAATAAACTAAGAAGGATCAACCTGATAGTATAGGTAGAACTAAGAGGTGGCTTTGGAGGAAAACCCAAGTTTACAGTGACGAGACAAGCATAAAAGTACCTGGGAAATACAGGAGAACCAGCCAAGAGCCACAGTATAGATGTAGTCATTTTCTCTGGAAATTCAGCATTGCCATAATTACGGCTAGTGAGGAAGGAACGGGAGGCCCCCTCTTCCCCTGTAGACATCCGAGACACCGATGGAAGGACCTCTCAGTGAAAGCTTACACTGGACGAGTGCTCTCTTGGCTGGGTCCTCATTCCTCGTGGAAGGGTTATCTGGGTCCACATACCCAAGAGCCCCTTAGACTTGCAAGACTGGTCTTTGTTTCTTTTCCATCTGAATGACTTTAATTAAGACAAACCCCAGCTGCCAGCTTCTTAAGGAACCATTGTTTTTCCCATGGAGAACACAGCATCTTTGTTTAAGAGTTAGGTCTGGCACAGAGGACAGATGCTCCCGTATCTCAAGGGAGCTTTCCTAAAAGGAAGGCCAGAAGGATGGGCCCCCAGTAAGAACAAGCATCCACCTGAACTCCTGTTGCTGAGCCAGGACAAAGCTCGGGGGTTCCCGGAGGACCAGTCTGAAAGCCTCTCTCTTTAGTTTTCTTACTGCTCTGGGGCATTTTTCCTTATCTTCTCAACGAATAGGATCACCTCCAGCGTAATAAATCACTTCCTCTTCCCCTCAGGAGCTCTGATGGCATAGTAGTTACAGCATTCACCTGCTAACCAAAAGGTCAGTGGTTCAAACCACCGCCCGGCCACTCTGTGGAAGAAAGATGAGGCAGTCTGCGTCTGTAAAGATTTACAGCCTTGGAAACCCTTTGGGGTGGTTCCACTCTGTCCTGTAGGGTCATTGTGAGTCAGAATCAACTCCATGGCAGTGGGTTTTGGTTTTGGTTATACTCCTCACATGGTCCCTAACTGAAAGGTTGGTGGTTTGAACTCACTCAGTGGTATCACAGAGGAAAGGACTGGTGGATTACTTCTGTAAAGATTACAACCAAGAAAACCCTGTGGAGCCCAGTTGTACCCTAACACATGGGGTCGCCATGAGTTAGAATCAACTAGATGGCAGTGGGTTTGATTCATTGTTGTTTGGATAACCCCTCACTATTTGGTATTATGGTAATCATCACCAGTCCGCCAGCTCTACCCTGACCAGGGCCTTGTAACAAGGCTCAGGGCATGAGGTGAACCCCTGCAGCCATCCCAGCCTGCTCTTGGAAATGGTCTTTGGTGAACTGGACAGCAGCTTTCCCAGCTATCCACAAGACCATCAGCACTGACCCTTGCTCTCTCCTCCTTTTGCAGCGCCATTTAGCCCCTGAAGTGTTTCGAGAAATCTTTGGAATGTCCATCCAGGAGTTTGACAGGTTGCCCCTTTGGAGACGCAATGACATGAAGAAAAAGGCAAAACTCTTCTAAGTCCCACGGTAGACGGCAGTTAGAAAAAGGAGTGACTATGGCGGGGACACATAGGATGTTGTGTTAAAGGCCCAGAACTTGATTGGAGATTTGCAGCCACTGTTCCTCAGTAACAGCAAAAAGGGAAAAAGTCTGAGTCCAACACCCAGGAGCTGACTCAGGCCACCCAACAGCAACACTTGCCAGGAAGCGATGGGGGTAGCAACCTCTGTTGTCAAACTCAGCGGCGTGTTCACATTGACTTTCACGTGACCTTACATACCCAACAGGAGCTACATTCTTCTTTTGTTTTCTTTTAACTGTTGCCCAACAGCAGTGCTGACTGTAAGATAAGAGCCAGCAAGTGCCCTTAGGATGCCGCACAGAAAAACAAAACCAGAAACCGTTACACTAGTTCCAAAGTACGAGTATTTATTCTGTAGCACTGTGGCTAAGAAGAGCAAGCCCCCGGCCCCTACCCGTGTGGCCTGAGCCATTCTGCTCAAGCCTTTCCTCATGGCCTTGTGCAGCTCCGCCCACACTCTGCAGTAACGGACATCAGAGGCTGGCAGCCAGGTAGCTCTCTTTGAGCTTCAGCAAAGTTGTTTTTAACAAGCTCCTTGTTCTCTACTGTCTGTAGGACATGGTTGGCAAAAGACTTAGCTATTAGTGATTTTTTTTTTTTCTGAAGAGAAGGAAAAGGAAAAGAAAACCTCCCCAATACTTTTTCTGCTTGAGGGAGCAGGCTTCATTGTCCCTGCCCACTGAGAACAAGGGGGTGCCTTGGGCCCCACCTTTGCCAAGGAAGGAAAAGGAGAGAGTGCCTCCAGCTTGGCAGCTTGTATGCTGCTCCGTGATGCCTGCAGCCACGTGGCCCAGGGGCCCCGCCACTCTTGGCAGGGAGGAAGGCTCAGTGTCCCACCAGTGCACGTTCTCCAGCCTGGCCGCCTCTCTCTGCACCTCGCGTCCTGTGAATCAGATCCAGCCCAGCGTGGATCTTGTTTTTGAAGGTCGGTTCAGGAAGAGGCTGAGGAAAGGCACGTTCTTCTCTTTTTCAAACCCTGCAACTCCAAAGTAGATTGCTTCAACCAGATTCAATATGGCCTTTTCAACTTTTCATCTTGCCGCCTAGCCCTGTATGTGTGTATGTGTGTGTGTTTGTCTTTGTGTATGTGTGTGTTTAATGCATGTCTTATTTCTGCTTGCCTATTTGTCCCGCTGTGCTGAACCTTCTAAAGGACATCTGCAGTGCACCCACCTGAAAGATCTAGATGAGGCTGAACTGCCCACACACACGGCCCGCCTCCTGCATGGAAGGGCGTTGGTGTTTAGCAGCTTTGCACAGATGTAGCCTGACAGGATCAGACTGAAGACTGAATACCACAGACCTAGTACCTGGCTGCGTGTGGGCATCAGAGCATCTCACCTGAGTCTTCAAACTTGGCACCATGAGATTGGAATCAGAGCCTAGGATTTCGCCAGCCCACGGATACCAGACTACAACATGATTCCTGAAAGCCTGTCACTGTGACTCAAGCAGGAAGCTAGCTGGATCAAGGACAGTCTCTCTAATTCCACACACAGAAGAACAAAAGTTAAGACACATTTATCCTCATGCTTGGACTCTGCTTGGGCATTAATGCTCTGTTTTAAAGCCAAAGGAGAAAGCATTTGAATTTGCCTGCAGCGGTCACTGATCCTAAACCTCAGCAGTTCTTCCTGCTGGCACCACATGTTAGGGTTGCTCCTGTCTGTCTGACGCTAACAGTAAAAGGCAAGTGGGACACCTCTGGAACCCGTGCTGTGGACTGCCAGCTGGCAGCATGCCCACGCACTGGGTGCTGGAGTGGACACTGTCAAGCTTTGCAGCATTCTTCTGTCTGCGTGCAGAGGAACTGATGTGTGCTTGCCTTTGCAGTGCTGGGCACTGAATGTTTGAGGGCTGTTCTCCCACATACGTGTGTGTGTGTGCACGTGTATACGTATTGGACGGGGTGGTGCTGCAGAGACACCAGCCCCTGCTGGGCCTGAAGCCCACCTGCAGCTTGCAGTGTTGCCCCTTCATCTCTCATTTGCCTCTTGCTTGATCTGATAGTCTCACTGTCCCATCTTCTCTTTGACCTCTCCTCCAGTGGCAGCCTCAGCCTGAAGCGCGTGTGTCTGTCCACAGGGCCCTGCCCTTCAAGCTTCCTGTAGTGTGTGAGAGTGAGGAGGGGAGGGACTGTGATACCTCAGCCTTTCCCTCCCACGGTCATGAACGCTGGTGATCGGGTGGGTCCCAGACTTGGCTGGCAGAGAGGCCCTGTTCATTTTGGAGACAATAAAGGGCCCCCAAAGTTTTCACTGGTTAGGGAGGCCTGACCCAAGCATACCTTGGCAGATCAGATGTCAGTGTAGGAAAACTCAAGGTATTTGGGAAACATTTGCACAAGTCAGGTGGCTTTGCTAAGCTCCATACCCATTGGTCTGCATTAGGAGCTGTGTCCCAGAGTCAGGACGTTGGACTGGGAAAGGGGGCCAACTCCCCTAATGCTGCAGAGACCTTGAGTTAAGGGAACAGCCTAAGATGACAGTGGTATAAAAGAGCTAAGCCCTAAACTACTTTTGTTGTATCTCTTGAACCCCGTTCTGTATCCACCTTGAGGGGTGAGGAGACTTGCTTCCACACCAAGCATACAGCTGATTTAAACTACAGCATGCAGACATGCACTGTGTGGCCTCCCGTCTACAAGCAGTGCTCCGCTTGAGGCAGGGGACGCCGGGTACCAGAATGCAGAGTGGGCTCCCAGCAGAGCGCTGCAGCTGGTAGAACTGGTCACAGAGCAGCAGCCTGGTTCCCTAACTACCCAGTGCGGTGTGTGGGCTGCAATGCCCCGTCCATGTGTTCCCCTGGACTCTGCATGCGTGTTCTCGAAATGTCCAGGCCACACTACAGAAGATTCAGGTTCTCTGCTTGAACCCTGCCCCACACAGCCCTTCACCTTCAGACTGTAAACACAGATTAATGGGATGGTTCAGTCTGAGGCACTTGACTGCTAATCAGAAGGCTAGCAGTTCAAACCCACCAGCCACTCCTTGGAAGGAAGGTGAGGCAATCTACTTCCGTAGTGATACTGCCTCGGAAACCCAAGGAGTGGTCGCTATGAGTCAGGGCTGACTCGACGGCACATAACATCAGTCTGGGGAAGGAATTCTGTGAGCGCATCCCTGGTGCATATACAAAGGGCTACATGCTTGAGCATTTGATGGACTTGTGACTCCGTAAGATCACTGATTGTATGAAGAAAAAGGTGTGTAGATGTGGACACCTGTGCTTCCTGCCAGTCTTCTTCCCAAAGGCAGGCTGTCGGTAAGGCCTCTCATCTTAGTTATTACATCCTGTGGAAAGGTGTCAGGAGGTGTTCCTCCCATGACTTCTTAAGAAATTAAAGATAGCCTGTTCTCTATAACCACATCAGAAAATAGCTAGAGTTAATGGATAGTAAGGTACAAAAAAGAAAAGGAAAAAAAAAAGTCGCTTTCCATCTGATGTGTTCCCTAACCCCTCCCTGCCTTCTGGCTCCTGTTTCCAAGTTGAATGTCGTCCTCTGCAGTGAAGGGGCACAGGCCCCACTCGCTGCTCTCACCCTCTCCGCCTCCATCTGACTCCGGCAGCTCCGCTCGGAGTTGTCGTGCTGGTAACATTTCTAAAACTTCCACCTGATTTCCTTACACCTTGAAGCAAATGCTCTTTTCTAAACAGTTGCATCTCAGATGATTATATAGAATATATACGCTTTTGCAAGTTAAAAAAACAAAAAATCAAATTAACCACTTTTGACTAGGTAGGTCTTTCTAAACAACTACTAAAAACAAACTTGGTGCCAGCGCCCTCTGACATGTTGACGCGGCAGGCGGCTGGTGAGGCTCTGGACTCGGCACCGCATCCTGAGAGTCACGAAAGACAGTGGAAGGAAAAGGAACTCCCAGGCATCGGCCCTGCTCTGCCCTCTGAAGCAAGCTCGGTTTTTTATAAACCAGCTCTCTCTATTTCTAGAAACTCCTTCATCTGGCTTCCAGTGCTAACCCTGATTGTGTTTGGTTTTGAAATTGTTTTTCTTCGAGGAGTCAGGTGTTTGCCAGTATGCCCTAAGATGCTCTCTTCATTGTTCCCTTTTGAAGAACTTATTACCCAGAAAAATTGACCTTTAGGGCTTAGGATTTGCAGTGATACCAACTTAGGGTGATGCTGTCCATTAAGGAAACCACAGTAGGCAAGAGAAACCTTTCTGTTTGACAATTAAAAAAAAAAGAATGCTGTCTTTCGATCTGCCGACCAGGAAGCGGTTGGGGAGGTGGTGACCAACATGCCTTGCATATGGGTTTGGTATTTTCATCTGGCCCAGTTTAGTTGATGACAAACTCAGATGAGCAGGTCGTGGGGAGGAGGTAGTCAGTTGAAGCTGAGAAACTTTCCATTGTGTGTATTCATGGCACAATTAAATGGCTCTAGCCTTTGTGAAGCTTAGTGTAATGGAGGGGTGACTGTACATTCAATAAGATTCCTCCCGGAAGTGTCCCTTGCAGCCTGGGGTACCCATGAGTCACTTCCTGAAGCCGTTGACCCCAGGCGGTAGGAGATGATGCTGTATACCTTAACTCTGAAAGGTGGTCAGCCACTTAATGATTGTATTTGTGTATGTTGCTTTACCTTAACAGAAGAAAAGACAATTGTCCACAAAGTCTTTGTTCTTTCTGGGTGGTAGGTACAGGCCTGTCCAGTCATCGTGTGTGTGTGTGTGTGTGTGTG